CTTTTTGCTCCTAAAACTGGATAATCTCAAATGCCCTATCTTCAAATTTGCTGATTCTTTCTGCTGCCTGCTCAAATCTGATATTAAGCCCCTCTAGTGAATTTTTCATTTCAGCTATTGTACTTTTCAACTCCAAAATTTCTATTTGGTTCTGGTTTTCTTTTACAAATTCGACCTCTTTATTTGATATTCTCTATTTGGTGAGACATCATTCACATAATTTCTTTTATTTCTTTAGACATGATTTCCTTTAATTCCTTGAATATATTTAAGATATCCAAATTAAAGGCTTTGTCTAATAAGTCCAATATTTGGACTTCTTCAGGGGCAATGTATATTGACTGCTTTATTTCCTATGAATGGGACATATTTTTTTTTTTTGTTGGTTCTTTGCGTGTCTCATAATTTTTTGTTGAAAGCTAGTCATCTTTATATTATATGATGTGGCAAATCTAGAAATCAGATTATCCTCCCTCCTCAGGACTCACTGTTTAGTGATCTTTCAGACCTAAATCTGTAAAGTCTGTATTTTTCATCATATGTGGCCACCGAAATCTCTTCTTGGTTAGCTTAGTGGTCAGCTAATGGTTGAACAGAAATTCTTTGCATCTGTCTTTGCATCTCCTAGTGCAAGTCTCTCAGTCTTTGCAGAGGGTCTCTGTGTGCACACCTTCAATACTCATCAGGCATTTGACAGCTCTGTCTTAGTCTTCACTTCCTGCTTGCACAGAGCCTCAAAGTCAGACATAGATGAGAGCTTAGGACCTTCTCAGGTATTTTATGAGAATTCTTCCAGCTCTGGGCATGCATGTGGTTTGCTAGATCCCCAGGAATGTGTCAGAGCTTTTCAAAGTCCTCTATGGACATCTTATTCTGCAGCTTTTCCTTTTAAGCTTTTGGCTAGTCTATTGCTTGCCCCTACTCTTATCCACCACTTTAGGCAGCTGGGATGTTGAACAATTGCTAATGTTTGTTTTTGACAGATGCCCCAGAGGTAAAGGTTATTTGCACTTGGTAAGCTCCAAGTCAGATCAAATAAACAAAAGCCTTGTGAGTAGGGTCTTCCAGGGAACCACCAGAAAGCTCAAATAATGACAAGTCTCTCAAAACGGGGTTTCAAAGGAGCTCCATCACTATTCTGTACCATCTAGTGGCTGCCAGACTACTGTTTTTCACCATGAACGTAGGCTGTTGGTCTTTAAGTCTACCACAGAGCTGGAGAAGATGGGGATTGAGCAAGTTAAAAACACCACAAAGCTCACTGTTCCTACTGAATTCACTTATTCAAGTGTTTGAATAAACACTGTCTGGATTGCTGCAAACCTTTGGTTAATATGCAGCATTCTGAAAAAGTTAATTCTGACAATTTTTGCTAGTGTTCCCACTGCTTTTATGGAGGAGAGGATTTTCAGAGGTCCTTACTTCACCAGTCCCACTGTCATAGTATTATTTCTACTCTTTCTGTGAAGCGTCACTTAGGTGTACTACTTGTAAATAGCATTTTACAAATCTCAATTGGGGAGTTTTGTCTTACATTAGGAAAAGTAGACCATTTGAATGTATCATACTCAGAGATATATTCAATCTTAGCCCTACTATTTCACTTTACATCTCTCTTTATTACATTTTCTTATTTTGTTTCTTTTTTATCTTTCAATTGTTTTTCAGACTTATATTTTTTCTTCTCTTCCCTCTAGCAGTTTAAAGTTCTACTTGCTATTTCTGTTTTACTATGAGTGACTGTAAACATACACATTAAAAAATTTAAACACATTTTTCTATCAAAATAAAAACTAGTAGTATCATAAATACATAAAATCAGATTAAAAACAGTGTTTAAAACAAACAAGAAAGCTATTTAAATTATTACGATGTACTTTGCTGTCTTTGGTTTGGGAAGAAGATTTGAAGTAACCTTGATAATTACTGCTATCTATTGAGTGGCTACTATGAACCAAACACTTTACGTACCTTTCATTTGTTAATTCATATAATCTTCACAACTCTATAAGAATTCTTTTTATATACAATTAAACAAACTCAGAGAATTTAAATAAAGCCCCCAAAGCCACATAGATTATAGATAACAATATCACGATTCAAGCTTTGGTCTGTCAAATTCCAGAGCCAAAGCTACACTGCTTCTCGCATGTTTGTCCCTTTACCTAAGGGTAAACATTTAGGAGCACAGTTAGCTGGGAGAGTTGTGCATGTTTATAGAACAGATAATAGAAAGTTGTCTTTCGCAGTATCTCTCATCAAACAAAGTTTTAAATATAGAGGAGGAAAAGAAAATATAATGATAGAGGAAATCTAGAAGAAGAGAAACATGCTAAAGGATGGCCTGGAAGGAAGGAACTGCTGGGGCAGTTTGAGAAGGAAGTCAAAGAGACAGAGAAAGTCAACCTATTTTGACTGAAGGGAACAGATGGAAGATGAGTAAAGACAAAAGGGGCCATGTGGTAGGTGTCATCAGTTAGAGGGCAAGTAACTGGAATTTGATCAATCGACAAGAATTTATTTACTGGACTCCTGGGCACTGTGGGAGATACAAAAGAATGTAGAGTTATTTTGGGAATGATAATGATGTAGACAAGACAGATGGCTTGAACTGGGGCATTAATGCTGAAGGAAAAGGCGAGGGACAGAAGACAGAAAGAGGTTAAGGCAATCCCTAAGTGAACCAGCTTGCATATCAGTCTGGAATTTTTGTGGAAATGGAAAGATATAGAGGAATCACTGTAGTCGCTATTAAATCAAAAGCAAAGGATTTGTAGATGGAAGGAGAAAGATGCCAAATCACCTGCTCTTTCCATTTCTGCTTTTGTGAAAATTAAAAGATAAGTAAAGATTTATGATAACACATCCACACATACATACTCACTACAGGCAGTGCTTCACATCGTCTTCCCAAATGTAAATACGACCATTTAGCTAAGATTGGGTAGGGCCTGATGGCCATGACTAATACTGGACAGGTCTGACCACCTTGGAAGGCACTAGGAAGTCTTTTTATGCTGGAGGAATTGTAAGCAAGACTTAAAAGGTACCTAAAGATATCCAACAATGTAATGAAGATAGATCTCCATTTGTTAAAGTGCAAGTAAGTGAAGACTAATTGGTGCTAGTAGACATGAAACCAAATTCAGAAGCATCAGGAGGGAATGAGCTTTCTGGGCAGCCCCTTGGTATGTTATATGTAATAGACTCTCATATGTGCCGTTCCTTTACTCTAAAGTCTTTATTGAGTATTTTTATAACAAAAGTGAGAGCTGCCATGAGTCTTCCTATGTTCTAAGCTCTTTAGATGCATTATCTCATCAAATCCTCATAACCATAATATGTAGATGTTATTATCCCTACTTTATAAATGAGAAAAAAAATTAGATTCAGACATGTTAAGTAACTTGCTCAAGATCATATAGTCAGCAGGTGGAAGAGTAGCAATTTATATCCTAATCTGTGTTATATTTCTTTTACCTTGAGGAGGCACATTTTAAGTGCTGGGACTTAAAAATTAATACTTGGAAGTCCTTGTTCTTGAGAAGCATACAGACTAGCTGGAGACAGAGAGCCAAAAAACAGTTGTAATACAATAAAATATTTGCTTTAACAGGCATATACTAAGTGAATGAATAAAGAAATACATATATTTGCCTGAGACCATTTGAACATAGACTTTAAGCATCAGCAATTGTTTCCTAGGTGATGAAGGCACAAATGGAATTCCAATACATGTAAAACAGTGCATACAAAGACCCAGAGGTAGCAAAGAGTTTGAACTATTTAGGAAAGTCTAAGGAGGTCAAAAAGGCTGAAGCATAAAATGCAGAGGAACAACAGGAAATGAGGCTGGAGAGGTAAGCACTTATAGGTGAAGCTAAAGAATTTAGACTTTATCTTGTAGGAATTGGGGAATCATCAAGATCAGTCCTGTGAAGAGTTTGGTCAATAAAAGAGGTTCCACATGATATTGTATCACGGGGGTCGATAAGGCTATAAAAACTCAAGGACTGGAGATGACTTAAGGGTCACAGCTAAGTAGCAATGGCAGCATTACAAATGGAAGACTCCACTGCAGACTTGAGACAAGGTGGTGGGAAGGCAGCACGCTCTGGAGAGACCTGCGCTCAGTGTACTAGAAGGCTGAACCAGGTGTGCTGTCACTTTACACATAACTGCCTTGGCCAGTGATTTCATTTATGCGTTTGTTCATCCAATACACATAGCATGCAGGCAGCCATAGCCTTGGTAGCATCAATATTTCAAAAGAAATACGCAACATAATGGTGGATAGCTTTTGAAATGGCATGGCTGATCTCCTGGATACTCACTTCAAGTATGACACTGGAAAGACCTGTTAGAGATTTGCAGAGCAGCAGTCAAGTACTTCTCGGAGAATGCCAGGAGTGAACGCCCTGGAGGACACTACCTTGAGTATCTGAACAGGGATGGGCCTATAGGTACAAATCCTCCAAACCTCTGGGAACTGAGGTAGTTCACCAAATCTCAGACAACAGGCACAATCTAACACCTTGAGAGAAGGGAGATCTGCAGGGAACAGCCACATTCTTTTAAACACCTGACAGGGGACACTATCTAGGAGGAGGTAAGTAGAAAGATCTCAATTACATATACCTAAGACAAAATGAACAGACCTCTGGATTATAGCAGTTTTAGATACTTCCTCCCAGTGGGATAGAGAGCTCAAGACTTTGAGTAGAGGCTCATGTCATATATACGTTTGTATGTAAATGTCTATGTGTATATAGCAAACGGAGGTTGTCATTTCATTCTTGCTACCAATTAGCTGCTTCCCTTCCCTGGCTTTCATCTTTCTCATCTATAACATGAAAAAGCTATATCTGATGATCTCTAAGATCCCTTTCAGCTATAATATTTTATGAGGATCCCCGATGGTTACTGGAGCTGATAAAATTCTTTGTCAATTTATAATTACGTTGTGTAAATGATACAACATCGGATTTGCCTCCTCTTAGGAACTGCTGTGTGAAAATGACCCAACAAATGCAGAATTTACATCTTTCTCAGTCAAAAAAACACAGCGCCCCATCATCTCCCAATGCTGCCAAACGCCTGTACAGGAACCTCTCTGAGAAACTGAAGGGGAGCCACTCTTCGTTTGATGAGGCCTATTTTAGAACAAGAACTGACCGGCTGAGTCTCAGAAAGACCTCCGTGGTAATAAAATTATTTTTATTCTTGTCTCGATTTGATTTGTGTGGTCATGTTTGGACTTAAGGAGATTCTAAGATGATCCATGTTTACTTCAGGACCTGACGTTTGCAATTTTATAACTGCTGAAAGTCACGTAAGGCAGGAACTGCATATATCTATGTTGTTAGCTGAAGTTTGAGTGATTGTGAGATTTTCCATTTCTTTTTCTTAATTTCTTTCCCCTTTTTTGCCCTTAATTTTTCTTTCTCTAATAGACCAAAGAAACCAAAAAATAGCATTTTGACAAATATGGAATATGAGATTAAACAGGCTTTCTGAAAGCTCCAGTGTTGATTCAAATATTGAATGAGCAATGAACAATACTTATTTACTTATTTAGAATGTATACCCCATATCCTTTCCAAAGATACTCAAGACAGAATCTGGGCGAAAAATGCTAAGTATTGGGGCTGGCCCCGTGGCCCAGTGGTTAGGTTCGCGCGCTCCGCTGCGGGCGGCCCAGTGTTTTGTTGGTTCAAATCCTGGGTGCGGACATGGCACTGCTCATCAGACCACGCTGAGGCAGCGTCCCACATGCCACAACTAGAAGGACCCACAACGAAATATACAACTATGTACCGGGGGGCTTTGGGGAGAAAAAGGAGAAAAATAAAATCTTAAAAAAAAAAAATGCATAAGTATTATATAACGGGAAATAAAGAAAGAGATAGAGATAGAAATAGAGGGAGAAGCCAAGGACAGAAGGAAAGAAAGTGAAAAAGAAAAAACCAGAGAAAGAAAATAGTGGGGATGGAAAGAGAAATAGATATACCAACAACCTAGGAAAATATAGTACCTAAAATTTGTCATTACATTTATCTTTGAGTTTGTAGTCAGCCAAAGCTGAAAGGGACACACAATTGGTCATAGCATTCCATTAGCAGATAACTGAAAGTATATCAGTCTACGAGAAAAATGAATATTTTACTGTTGCCAAGTCCCTTGGCATATAAGATACCATAGTGAATTATGTAATGGAGAACAAAGATTAGTATAGGTGATGTTACAGAGATTCTCATATATTAGTTTCTTATACTGGCCCTCGATAAAAGCTGAGGGCATAATATTAACATGCTCAGCAAGGGTATTTCTGCAGGAGGGTAATGGTACCAGTTGTTGGAGCTTAAAAAAGAAATGAGCCCTAGCCTTTCCAGATAGAAGCATACTAGAGTTTGCCAACAAAAGCATGGAGGAGGAAATGACTTAAGAGTAAGAGCAAATACGGCACATGAGAAATTAGACATACTAAGAATCACAAACAAATACACAACTGTGAACAGGGCAGCATTTTAACTTTGCACTCATTTGTTTTCTCATTTCAAATTCATCTTCTGGGAGGGCTTGGTTGTGGCTGAGTTAGGGCCTAAGCATCAGTGGCTCTTCAGTTTGGCAGATTGTTGACTAAACGCTTTTCCATTCAGCAGATTGCCCTGTTGCAAAGAAGAGTTGCATACCAAAATAGCTGTATCCCCTGGCTCTCTATTGTCAAAGCAAGCATTTGCATAATACCTTTGTATTTTCTTCAAATTTCAATCATGTGTTATGTACTCAGCTAAGCCGACCTGCAGCCTTGATAGACTCAATTTTTGATGAGACTAAAAATAAAATCTGCCAACCTAAATATCTGGTCACTGAAGACCTTTCACATTTCAATCAGGCTACCCCTATGCTAGGTGAAAAATAATGGTATTTTAACATTTTTAAAGACCAAGCAACTCTTGGAGAAGATACCAGATAAATGTATAAATAACACATGTGTTGCTCTTCTCCCATGAGCTACAGAAATATGTATTTGAGAGAATTCCAGAGCTTTTCTCCTTTGTTTACTATTAATCCTCTGAAAGAACTTTTCAAAGGAACCATTTTGTCTTTAGCTATTTTTTTCCTATAGGTTATTTGTATCCTATAAATACAATAGTCTGCCCTTATCCACGAAGAATACTTCCAAGACCCCCAGTGGATGCCTGAAACGGCAGATAACACCAAACCCTATATATACCATGTTTTTTCTATACATACATACCTATGGTAATGTTTAATTTATAAATTAGGCACAGTAAGAGATTAACAACAATAAATTTTCTTTGGCATATCCAAATTGCCAGAATCACTACTCTTTCACTTTGGGGTCATTATTAGGTAAAATAAGGGTTACTTGAACACAACCACTGCTATAAGGTGATAGTCAATCTGATCAACAAGTCAGCTACTAAGAGACTAAGGGGTGGGTAATGTATACAGTGTGGAAATTCTGGACAAAGGGATGATTCACATCCTGGGTGGGATGGAGCAGGATGGCATGAGATTTCTTCACACTACTCAGAACAGCCTGCAATTCAAAATATGAATTGTTTATTTCTGGAATTTTCCATTTAATATTTTTAGACCATAGTAACTGAAACCTCAGAAAGTGAAACCACAGATAAGCAGGAACTACTGTATTCAACTTTTGGCTCTCTCAGGCCCCAAAACAATTTGCCATCCAGCCACTGAACCCTCCCTGGAAACCACCTCTTGAGGCCCTTACCTGAGTGCTCAGAAATGCCAGGTGTTCAGTGATTGGGGCTCTCGGTTAAGAAACTATAGAGGTCAGTACAAAGGAGTCTAGGAGTTTGGGAGCCAGCCTGCAGGCAGTGTGGAGCTTAGAGATTTGTAACAGCGAAGGGACATGTAACATTGCATATTTTAGAAAGATTACTCTCCTGTCAGTAAAGAGCATGGGCTAGAGGAGACTAAGACTAGCAACAGGCAGGTCATTGCCATGGTCCAGGCAAGGGATGATAATGGTCTGAGCAATAGTAGAGACATGGGGCATGGAGACGTGGGGCATGAGTTTGAGAAAACAGAGAAAGTGCACTGTCAATTCTAAGCTAGTCACAATTAAAACTACCTGTGTTACGTTATCTATGTGAGCATTTCCCAAACTGTTCTGTAGAACATTATTCCAGGGGCAGTTAAAATAAACGCAATGAAAAATATGTTCTGTGAACAAATATTTGAAACAGGTCGTATTTCCCACCTATTAGAGAGTCATAATTGCACATTAAAATTATTAGAGGCCCTGAGAGGTCTAACAGTAATATAAGGTGGTAACTTGATTTAATCCCATGCATACCAAATTTATTTGACCACATGCTACTTTCTAATAGAAGACCTTTTAATGACCTATCTAACAGTATTCCAGAGAAGACTGGTTTGAGAAACGCTGATGTTTCCTGTTATCTATAGACTAGCCATGCTATACCCTATTGTCTCAATGCATCTAAATGTAGAGATCTATTTAATTCCCGTTAGAAAAGATGGATGAAGGGTCCAACACAGTTTTAATTTGGAGACCTTGGGATAAATTGCAGTTGTTCCACCTATAAGTGGGAATGCAGTCACTGAAGCAGTCACTAAAATTCAAAATAGCTAAGCTGCAAAGACACACTGGCCTATGCAATTATACTAACTTGCTTTTGTTCTCCTCCTCCAGAACTTCCAGGGCAATGAAGCCATGTTTGAAGCAGTTGAACAGCAGGACATGGACGCCGTGCAGATCCTTCTGTACCAGTACACACCAGAAGAACTAGATCTCAACACACCTAACAGTGAGGGGCTGACGCCCCTGGATATTGCCATCATGACCAACAATGTACCCATTGCTAGGATTCTTTTGAGGACAGGAGCCCGAGAAAGTCCACACTGTAAGTAAACCCGAGAATGAAAACATGTACTATTAAAGCTAGACCCAACTTTATGCCACTGAAATAGCCATTGCTAAGCTTTAGAGCAGGAATGGTTGACTAAGCATAGGCTTTGAAATCCTTTCCATGTTTTCATGGACTTTCATGAAAATAGTGATAGTGTTTATCAGTCTAAGCATCAAATTATATTCTAAACAAAATACACTGAATGGAATTGAAAAAGAGCCTTGAAGAAATCTCCTCCTAAGAATTTAACCCAAATTTTAAACATGTGAAATACACCAAGTGAGGCATAGAATAGGAAATATACAGAAGAAAAGAATGAGTGTGTGTGTGTGTCTTTGTGCCCACAGTGAATATGGTGGCTTCATTCATCCATTCAACAAACACTGAGGACCGAGCATTATTCGAGGTCCTAGGAATGCAGTGATGAGCAAGACAAAATCCCTATTCTCATAGAGCTTACATACTAGTGGAGAAAACTTCCCATAAGCAAGTAGATAGATAAATTAAAATATGAACTCTAATAGTGATAAATACTATGAAGAAAATAAAATGGATCAGTGGCTAGAGATTGATGGAGTAGAGACTATTTTAAATAGGGTTGGGCAAGAAAAGTCACTCTGATGTGGTAACACTTGAGCCTAGTTCTAGATGATATCAAGGAACAAGCCATGACAAGGTATGGGGTCAAATTCTAGATAGAGTGAACAGAAAGATGCTGTGGCGGGCAGAAATAAGACCGCCAGATCTGAAGAACAAAATGAGCAAAGGGAGAGTGACCACTGAGGAAGAAGTCACCAGGACCAGATCATTCAGGACCTTATGGCCGTGATAAGATGTTTTACTTTGATTGTGAGTTTGATGGGGAGACAGTGGAGCAGTTTAAGCAGATGAGTAACATATTCTGCTTTACATTTTCAAAGATCACTACGGTACTCCGTGGAGAATGAACATGGTGGGCAATTGTGAAATCAGGAAGACAGGTTAGGAGGCTATTTCATGGTCCAGGAGACAGATGCAAATTGCTTGGACTAATATGGTAGTGACATCGACAGTGAGCAGGGGTGGAATTCTGGACGTATTTTTTTAATAGCTTTATTGACATATAATTCACATGCCATCCAATGCACCCACTTAACGTGTACAATTCAATAGTTTTTTGTATACACACAGAGTTGTGCAGCCATCACCACAATCAGTTTTAGACCATTTTCATCACCCCGAAAGAAACGCAATACCCTTTAGATATCACTCTCCAAACCTCTCTACTCCTCCCAGCCCTAGACAATCACTAATCTACTTTCTGTTTCTACAGATTTGCCTATTCTGGACATTGCATATAAATGGAATCATATGATATACATGGTCTTTCATGAATGGCTTATTTCTGGATGTATTTTGAAGTAGAGCTGATAGTACTTGCCAAAGGGAGCTGCTCTGGGGCCAACGGCAGACCCCACCCAAGAGGGGATGGGATAAAATCACACAGCCCTTACCCTGTGCCAGGCACTATTCTGAGCACTCTACATGTACTGACTCCTTTAATCCTCACAGCAACATTTCTGAGGTAGGCACTCACATTCCCCTTGGTGCAAACTCTCTGACCCAATGACCACAATGGCTCACAGCCACAGTTTTTATGTTTCCTAAAAGAAAAAAGTAAACTCATCAAACTGTTAGTTTCACTAATACTGATTCACTTATTTCCAAGTGGTGAGACCCAGAAGGCTGAAAGAGAAGCAAGCAAATACATAATTAGAGGTCACATCTCTGCTCCTAAATTTCATAAACCTCCACCATCCAAAGACTAGGTACAGAGGCAGATCCTTGTATCAGAAAACTCTTTATTCTAAAAATGCTAAGCTCACCACATCCATGTCAAAGATAGTAAGGATTTGGTTCAGTAGAATTGGGGCTCTTCAATTAGAGCTCCATCGTCAAAGTGCCACTTCTTTTCAGTGGAACTGGAGGATTTGGAGGGATGGGCAAATAAGGATGGAAGAAATCAAAAAGGCTTATTTGCTGTCTTCCGATTTATGTTGCAATGATGTCTGTCCCAAAGATCCAGTGAGAGAGCCGTGGAGAGAGAATCACAGGGTCTGAACATAGAGAATGCAGACTGAGCCTCATTCTATAGGAACAAGGAGACCATTCATCCAGATGTGGCCTGCACTGGGCTGGATGAAACATTAGTCCTACTTACCTGAGACGCTACAAAGAATTCTGCATTTTCCGTGAAACCAGTAAGACTCAATCTCCCCAAGCCCCCTTGTGTATAATTAAATCTCCATAAAATAACCCAAGTACTAAATATCTAGTTAAACCAAAAGCAAATTCATTCAAAAGATCCCTGGTTTTTCTCATTCCCTCTGGAATGATAACCACAATTATCATCACAAAGTGGTAAAGGATGGTAAGAGATTAACCCAGGTTTTAAATCCAGGAAATATGTCACCTAAGTCACCTTGGCCACACAAGAAGTCAGAGATAGTACCATGTACAGACTCCCACATGTATAAAAATGGCAAAGGAATATTGATTACTTATGAATTTTCCACATACGTTATTTCTGGTTTTTACACTAACCCTTCAAAATGATATTGTTAACTCCATTTTGAAGAAGAGGACTTTTTGATTCTGAGAAGTGAAGTGACTAATCAAAGGTCACACATCTAGCAAATGAATAGGGATGCCAAGGACTAAAGCCTAAGTCTATGGGACACCAATGCCTGGGATCCTTCTGTGCAAACTTACTGTCTTTCCGAATAACCAATATGGAGAGCCATGGCCACCGGGCCCCTGCATCTTTCCCTTTGTGCTGTTTGCTAAAACCCTATGGTGCATTTCTTTGTTCTGCCTATGCACTAAGGTGCCATTTCTGTTGGAGAGCAGCAGGATGAAAAAACACAATCTGTTTTCAGGGATTTTTAATTTACTTTATATATCAAGTATAAAACACATAGAATTACTGCCGTGCATGAGTGTGAGCTAGCCCATGAGAAAAACCACAGTCCACCAGCCAGAGCCAGCTAAGCAAACACCTGCTGCAAACTGTTCCCCAGAAGCTGCAGAGGCAGGATATAAGAGAAGAAAAATAACAATGAGGTCTTAAGTCCTTAGAGCGTTTTACACATTACAAAAATGCTTTTGCTTTCATCATCTCATTTGATCCTCACAAATGGCTTGAGATAGGCGTTAGTATCCTCATTTTGCTGGATGAGGAAACTGGAATAGAAAAGTCAAATAATTCACCCAATGGTACAAAAATAGTAAGTGGTGGAGCCATGATCTGAATCCAGATCTTCTGTATTCAGTGCTTTGGTATTTATGGGAAAGCACTAGCACACTCACTATCACACCACAGATGCTCAATTTCTTCCTTCCCTGACTCTCCACCTGCTCCTCTTCTAATGCCTGTCAAATACTTCAGAGCAGAGTGCAGGCCTGCTAATAAATTCATTTTCTGTCTTCCCTTGCCCAGTGTGTTCTCTTCTGAAAACTAGTCCAATATTCTTTCCTCTGTGCCAACCAAGGATTCCAACACAACTCAGAAGGGGGTCCTCTGTAATTCTCCTCTTTACATAACAGGAATCGTAAAGGCACAGATGAGTTTAAGAATTTAACTCATAAGTCATTAGTCAGGCTTGTTTTCCAGTCTTTAGCCCCCCAACCATAGAGCTACATGGAGGTGTTCTTTATAAGCATGGCTTGAAACTCACCACATACATTTCCCTATTCATAGAGCAAGTCCCAGATGTGGCCACTGAAACTTGCACATTGCCCCAAGGTTTTAAATATATAGAGAACCCAGCCTGCTCATGAGATGAATCTACTATCTTTATTCAGCGACTATTTTCTGTTTTTCCCACCTTCAGGCAAGCAGCACAAAGTAATACTCATTCCTTCTAGAAGAAAACATCAACTATTATTAAAATGGAATCCCAGTACTTCCTCTCAAACTGGGGTGCTGAGCTCAGGAAACAGGCACAGAACCTGAAAGGAGTAGAGCTAAGGAAGGCCCTCACTGATGATTCAGCAAATTCCTCCTGGAGACTGACTGTTGAACTATGATTTGAGAGTGGGGGCAAGATATGAGTTAGTCAGAATAAGAGAGGGGTTTATGACTGGGGACTTCCAGGTACAGAGACAAGTCTTTCTTAGATAGCAACTGTTCACTTGAGCGTGAGTCATGGCAACGGGGATACTGAATGGATGAAACAATCAAAAGCATAGCCCCTAGATGTCCTGAGATGCCTCTGTATGTTAGCTTGCCTTTCTGAGGCTGCTATTTATTTGGCATCATTTAGGCCCTGAAAACAGTAATCATGAAGAAACTCCTTCTTTTTGGATACCTACCATGTGTAAATCTGGTCACTCACATGGATATTGTCTCATCTTTTGACCCCAGTACCTGGCACATAGTAGGTACTCAGAAGTTTTCAGTTGAAATTTTAATCTCTGTCTTATGCTTCTAGGAATCACAGGTATCAAATTTTAGAACATACACACACGCACAAATTATGTGTGTAGTGCATATGCACACACACAGAATGTATGGAAAAAAACCTTTAAGTCTTCCAGTAACTTTGACTGTTGAGTACCTTTGTTGTTGTTGCTGTGTTTGTTGTTTTCCAGGCACTGTTGTAGAATTTGGTTGTTGCCATAGCCTGTTTTTATTTTTACAGTTTAATAATATGGAGCAGTAAGAATGGTGGAATACTCCTCATTTTTAGTCTCTCTGCCCTTTCCTGTAGCTGCATTCCCCTTTTTCTCCACACCCTCTCCTCTCTCTCTGCATTTCTTTGTGAACTCCTCTCTCTCATTTCTCTCAGATACTGCCTGTGGAACTAGGAAACGTCACCCAGAATTAGGTATGTTTAGTTACTTCATAAAATGCGATTGCAGAGTAGGTGTCATCCAAGTATGGCGCAGACACCAATGTTACAATTTTGGCAGACTTGTCAGGATGCACCACTAATTTCTGCAGTAGTTGAGGG